ATTGGCGAGGAGAAAATGTATCGAAAGCTTTCTATCGCGATTTTCGATCCGTTGATCGAAGGTGACAGCGAGCGTTCGATTGAATCGTCTTGGTAGGGTTTTAGGCTTCGTAGCGTTTTTTTCGTTTTAGCGATTGGATTTCCGAACGAAGAAAAGATACAGGCGAGAGTTGGAGTCCTCGATATTTTCAACGTAAAAACTTGAAACGCGTAATAGCGATGTTGAAGCGGTGCGGCGGTATAACCTGTGTTTAAGGGCTCTCCGTCTCTTTCGCCAGCGAAAGAAATCGAGGGCTTGTTTGGAAAAGAAAAAGTTTGATCGAGGTGCACCAAGCTGATCGTTTCGAGCGATTTTAATTTTAAATTTAATGGCCGATTTATCCAGGATCGTTGGTTGACAGGACTCGCATGACAGATTATTGTCTTCTAGATTGTTGGGTGTCTCGTATCTTGTGATTACAGGTGCTTGCGATACTTTTAAGCCAGTCCCTTTCGCATTATCGCGTAATTATAGGGCCATTGTCAGTAGACGATCGAGAAAAATGACCCGTTAGCGATACTTTCCTGGCTACCTCGGGGCTATTATACGAGCGAATTTTTTGTTACCGGTAATCGTAGAAGTAAGCGTGATCGTTTGTTAACCGGTTCTCTCGTCGACGCACCGCTAACATCACGGTAGGTGGGGTGGGTGGTCTTTTTAAACGCTCCTCTTTTAAACATCGTCAATCACCGTGCATATGTAAATTCAAATTAATATGTATGTAATTATTAGTTTTGTGAAAATTTCAGCGCGAACGAACGGTCCATAACGAAATGGAATTTCAAATGGGGTTGGTAATAATAACGCGTGTCTGGCAGATTCGAATCTCCTCCGAGAAGACGGTTGAAAGATAATTACAGCTAAAACTGTTCGCATTTGGAAAGTAACTGTGTACGTCTGATGTACGCGGTGCCGTCGTTATCGGGAAGATTAGCAGGCGAAACGATTTCATTAAGAATAAATAAGTTGCGGTGGACCGATATATTGGTTGCATCGGTGGCGTATCCGAAGCATATGGTGTACTATGCGAAGTGATCCTGTCTCCTGGAGCGAAGAAACGAGCGGACAGAGTGTACGAGGAGGCGGAGAAACCGAGACGGCGACTATGTCGAAGCAGCATCAAATTCGTAGAGGGTTATCGCCTCGGGCGACCTACATATATCGCTCTTCTCGAACGGTCGAAACCCGTTGCAGAAGACTGCTCTGCTATTCGCTCTTGCGAATTTTTCGTCTTTCTTTGCTCCCTCTCACTCTCTCTCACTCTTACCCCCTCCCTCCTTTCTTTCCTCTCTCGGGCTAATCTTTATCGTCTTTCTCCCTGACTTTTTCTCATTTTCTCTCTTTGCTCAACGCTCGTGGACGTCAGCGTTATTCCTCTTGCATACGTTCACGTTACGTTCTTTGCACGATCGGTGATTCGCAATCTTTTCTACGCTTTCATTTTCTGCTTTTGTTCGTAACTTTTTACCCTTCTTCTCTTCTTCTCTTCTTCGTCCTTTCCTTCCTTTCTGTCTCCACATACCCCGGTCTTTCCTTCGGTAGCGAAACGAGCATGGATTTTTTGTTCCCCGTCCTCGAGAGATCGATCGATCCCTGTCGCTCGGCGGCCGGTCGATCGCCCCATTCGACGCATCGACTACGCGTTCATGCGTACATACATATATGTGCATACATATACCATCTTTTACTTCTGCTTCTATCGACGGGCCTCGGCGAGCCAGAGCCCCTCTTTGCGAACGAAACAGAGGCATAGAGGCGTAAAGGTAATCGGGAGAGCGGGTGGTAGGCAAGATAAACAGTCCAACCGGAAATCCACACTTGGATCTAGAAGATCCAATTCGTCGACGTTCGCTGTCGCATAGAATAGATTTGCCGACGGTGGTTCCGAATCCGCTTGGTTTCCTTTTTCTCTCGCGATATTACCTTTCGATCGTCGTACCTGTGTCGATCGCGACACGATGGGAAATTCGTGTTGCGACAAGATCCGCTGCTTATCGTGGGAGAGGCAGTGGCATAGGC